TTTCTTTTTTTCAAGTATATTAGATATTTAGTCTTATTAATAAAATAGTTTATATCCTCAACACATGACTTTAATTGTAAAACTGATTACTTCTTATTATGGATTATTATGGAATTATTACTGAGATCTATTATTTATGACTTCCTATTGTGAACATGTCATACGTGTAACTATATAAAATTATTCTTGCCAAGAGCATTTTATTTATAAATTGTTTTAGAATATAATTTTTCTGAAAAAAAAACTGAAACTGTTCAAATGCCACTACAGACAAATTCGATTTTTTTCTTACTATCTGATCGTGTAGTTCCTGTAGGAGACTGTCGGCTCTCGTAACAGCTAAGTAACAAAATTAAGTTTGTTTTCCAGACAACAAATCGTATTAAAACCCTGTGCAGCTACTTTGTCCCGACCGTGTGTTCAGGAAATAAAAATCTGTATCATCCATCGACAAAAGACAACAGAGCGAATAGTGAGCACGCCGGCAAAGAAACGTCCAGTCAAGTTTTAGTTAAAGTAACACAGGAAATAACCTGGAATGTGATGTAAACACAAGGATTCTTATCTTCCAAATTCAAAACCACATCAGATAAAAATCACTGTTTGCTTTTTTTCTGGGTCGTGTTCAGTCGGCCGAAAAATTTAATTAAATTAGATTTGTTTGTCCAGACATGGTTACCAGACGTGGAACATGGGGAGGAAGGTGAGTTGAAACATTGCTCTTCAGTCACCACCAGAGGAATTCATGCGTGGACGCAGGAAGGTGATGTGTTTCAAACCTTTTATGTTTTAATTTTTTTAAAAGCATTTTTTTTCGCAGCCTGAACAAGGACCCAGAGGTGAAGCGAAGAAGAAAAGGTGGAGAACTTACCTTTGAGCTGGGCGTGGAGGTTCAACTGGAGAAGACCGATGGGGCGGAGTCAGTATCGGTGGAGGCACAGGTGATTGGCTGAATCCCAGTGATGAGCAGCAGGACTGTGGCTCAGACTGTTGCAGCCTTGGAAACAAAAACACACATCAAGATCTTATAGATGTATAATGATAACAGATCTGCACATTTAGGACACCTGCTGGTAGAAAGAAGTACTGTGACATTGTGGGTGGGTTAAACCTGTGGACTGGTTGTTGAATTATCATTAAGGATCATTAAATTTTCAAAATAAAACACATTCTTTAGGCTTCTGTTTTATTGCAGTCTCAGTGACTTTATTTTCAAATATTTCCAGTACCAGTAACGTTCCGCTAACCAGGGTTTGGGGATCCCTGGGTTTACACTGAAGCGAAGTGACCAATATCAGCAGGCAGATGCCAGTGTTTGTCGCCCGTTTTTATCTGTAACTAATCCAAATGATAATATTATTAATCGGGAAAAATGTCAACTAAATCCTCCTCCAACAGTTTGAGACTTTAGTCTCTTAACTGATGTTAGATGTGATTGTGAAGAGTGTGAATGCCTACTTGTTGCTTCTCGTGGCTCTGTGATGAACTGCCAGCACTATGTCCATATCCTGTCACAAATTATGGGAACGGGATGTGAGCCAGACATGAGCAGTGGAGCCAAGAACTGGAGAAGAACATAAAAGCACATCTTGTTCAATAGCAATCAAGCTCCAGCCTCAGCACTATTTCTGTGTCAGTCTGAGCAGAGCCTGGACCTTGTGTCTTTCAACATATCATTTCACCAACGAGGTGACAGAGTACAGAGTGTGAGGTGGGGCTAAGGGTGGGGGCAAACTGACCTCAGCTCTGTAACCTGCACATTAAGCTTATCAGGGAGTTTATCTGGGTTCAGGTGGAGCAGGAGACTCTTACTTCCTCACTTCCCTCAAACAAAAGCCTGTTTCCTCGTCCGTTTGAACCACACTTTGAACAACCTTTTCTTCCCTCAAGAAGGACTCAATGACAGAAAATAGTTCTGACGAAAGCCAGTGACACAATCTTCTGACATAACCGAGAAAAAAAATTACCTTAAAAAAAAAAAAATACTACTTGAAAGGGAATCATCAGGATCAGTAAATTACAGTCAGTCATGTTGACACAGTGCAGAGCAGAGTCAAAGGGTAAGACTGCATTTTACATTTGTTCACGCCAGGTTGGCGGATGCCTGACGTAAAGAAAAAAAACAAAACAAAAAACAGACATTAGATAGAGCAGCAAGCATACCATAAAGAAAAACATCCGCAAACAACGGCATGAAGTAGTTCATATGAACATCTGCCTAAATTTCACAATACTGGACCAGAGTAAGTAAAAAAGTGATTATCCACCAATTAAAAAAAAAAATTCTATCAGCTCACATTGTTATGTCATCTGCATATGTGAACACATTTGTCTCTTGAACTCATTTTTGACAGAGATGCAACGGCTTGGAAAACATTTTGAATAGGGATGTCCGATAATATTGGGCGATATTATTGGCCGATATTATAGGCCTGATATTAGCATAGTTATGTAATTTTTTCCTTCCATAATGAAAACCCGATAACGCAATGCCTGGGTTTTGCCAAATATGCTTGAATTGTTGGTAGGGTACTGAGACATTTACCTCAGTTTTGGGGGCAAATGGCTGCATATATCGGTATCGGTTGATATCGGAATCAGAAATTAAGTGTTTGGACAATATTGGCATATCAGACCGGTAAAAAGTTCATATCGGACATCCCTAGTTTTGAACATTCAAAGAAGGCCTCAATATTTTCCAATTCTTATACATGTTTTTTTTTTTTTTTTAACATTTCTTAAGAGTTTTCTTGGCATATCCTGATACGGATTTTAAATTGTTTGTTTCTTCTAGAGGCATCAAAACTCAGAAACATCCTGCCAGGGTGGTGTAGCAGTGGTTGGAGCTGTTGCCTCACAATAAGATCCCACCCCCCACACTGGCCGCTTTCCTGTTTGGATTTGACTATTTTGCCCCTGTGGTATGGGTTTTCTTTCACGGTTCTCTAGTTTCCAAACACATGAAGATTAGAGATAAATCAGAGCCTGGGTGTTAATTAAGTCTGTCATTGTTTATCTGGTGCTTTACTTATTATCAGATTGGCTCCTGGGCTAGTTCAGCTCTTAAGACCACTCCCATTATTGCATCAGGGGGCCTCACGTTGCTGCCATTTGATGTGAGACTTGATAGTGTTCAAATATGGCCTCCAAAAACGACATTGCAAAAACGAGTAGTTACCATTGTTAACATTTTCTGCATCGCCCTCTTTTTGTTGAGCTGACTATTGACATTCCCTTATTTGAATGTCCAAAATAAAACTCTCCTCATTACACAAGAAAATAGTATCAGTGCAACTTTGCAAATGTGGAACTAATAAAAACAAATTTCAGATTTAAATAAATTTGCCCTGCTATCACTCTTCCCCCGTCCCTGCAATAGCTCTGCACCCCCTACTTTGGAATCACTGCCTTCAGCCATGGTTAGAAACATACATTTGATTTATGTCCTATTTCAGACATTTTCTAATTATTTTCAAACCATTTTAGCTTTGAAATTCAATTCTACCTGATGTATAATTTACCAGCTTATGCTCACAATTAAATTTTACAATTACTGCAGATTAAGTTTTTTTTTTGTTTTTCAGAGTTTCAGGTTTTGCAAATTATAATATCTTGTGACTTATGAAGCTGATGTTTACGTAGCGCTGAGAAAAGCTTTAAAAAGCTGCATTAAAAGATTAAAGCTGGACACCTGTGGCTCGTTCGGCTGCGGAAGACATCTTTGATGTGCATTCTTGGTTTACTGTTACCTTTTCACACGTTCTCTCATTCCTGGCACCAAAAAAGAAAACAAACAACAACAACATGATCGTTAAGGACTGCACAAAGACAGCAGCGAGGTAACGTAAAAGAAGAGGATGATGAAAATGAAAAGAAAACATTTGTCAGAACGTGGAGGGAGAATTCCAGCTTAGCTCATTATTAACAGGGGTTTGGAGCCATTCCCAGCATGCAAAGGGCAAAGAGCAGGACAACACCCTCAGCGGAAGACCAGTCCATCTTCACTGCAGCTCCGAGAGTATCCAGTTCACCTGACTCTGGAACAGTGGGAGCTCCACTCAGCAGACCAAGAACACGAACACTTCACACCAAGCGAACATCAATAACTGTGGACGTCTTTCAGAGGAGGGTTGGACGAGAGTCAACATGAACCTGCAGACAGATACATTGTTATCAGTAGGGTGGTCATAAAATTACAATCTTAGGTCAGTGGTTAATCACAGGGTAGCTGATCTTGATTAATTGAGATAAATCAGCATTCATAACTATGATGGAAAAGTCAAATATTAACTTTTTGCCGATATTGTCCAAACACCGATTTTTGATTTTGATATCAACTGATTATAATAATATTGTTATTATAAACAAAGTTCTGGTAATATTCTGCATACATTACTCTGATTATTAAAATAGATTAATAAAATGAGCTGCAATGCTGCCATCTAGTCACTTTAACATTACAATACAGCCGTTTTTCCCCAAAACTTTTTTTAGGGCACACATTTTTTGGCGAAACCCAGGCACTCATCGTGTTCTCATTATTGGAGGAAAAACCGATAACGATTCTTACAAATATAATTATGCTAATGTTGGTCAATAATATCGGTATGTCAATATTATTATCTAGGAACAAGACGAAGAAAAGTGAAGTCTTATACGGAGGACCCTGGATCTAAAAGCCTGTGGCCTGACCACAGCCCGTCAGACACACGGACTGGTCCAACTTCCTGTCACATCTCCTCCAACTCCTTTCCTCTGGTTGGGCCTGGTACATTTTAAAAACCGTTTTCAGTATCTGTGGTCCACCATTGCTGCTGTGTTGGACAGTGATTTGTCTTTAAAATGGACAGGCTGACCGCAGGACCTCAGTCCATTTGTCTGTCACACCGACACACAGAGCAGTGTCTGGCTGCGACTCTGAGCCTCTTTAGACAGACTGGACATCACAGACCGACTTCTGCTGTGGCTGCAAAAAAAAAAAGTACACACATTTTAAAACAAGGCTCGGCTTCACCTTATGTGCAGACCATGACCCTGCTATAACTGAACTGGTATTAGTACCAGCAGCAGCACCCTAATCCAAACCTGTGCTGACACGTCTTTGAGTTTGAAAATTTGTCTCCCAGGAAGACAGATAGAACAGAAAGCAGCGTTACTGTTGCCAACCCTGACCAGAGTTAGGTCCAGAGCTGAGGTAGAACCAGTGGACCTATGGTTCTGTGCCGTCTGTTCCTTCAACAAGAGCTGGTTCATCAGAATCCGGCCTCCGGCTGTGAGAGGACATTTGGACGTGTGTTGTTTGACACAGCCACAGAACAATAAGAAAAACAAACAGTATTTACCAGCATCTGTCAGGCTCACTGCCAAGACTTGACAAATCCAACATGCAACCAAACACACATTGATGTAACCCTTAAGTGCACACACTCCACGGTGGAGAAAGCGAGGAATGTCCCTCAGGTCATATTTTGGTATGCTGTCATACAACACTGCAGTGTGAATATGGGTTCATGTCCGCTGTACTGTCGAAGGCCAGATGTCAGAGGTAAAATCCACATTAATGCCAAAAACGATAAAATCATAAAAACGTTTTTTTTAAAAGACCAAAAACTGCACTAAAAAAACATGGGAACGTGTCAAGAGATATAAACCTCAACTAAACAGAAGAAAAAAAATAATCCCTGAAATGTCTTCAACTCACTTGAGGTGAGGCCAGTTGCCTACTTTAAATTTGCTCTTCAGACAGTTACGATCATTATCTCCTCTCAATGACTGATAATATCCACAAATATGTGGGGCTGAACCTAAAACATGTCACAAATCAATCAATGGTTCTAACACCAGCTTCAGTCCCGTTCTCACCTCAGGTCATTTTACAGCCTCCAATTTAACCTAATTATCACCAATCTATTGTAATAAAACAGGTACACACACACACACACACACACAAAGACTATGTGTGTGTTTAGAGGGGGCTGCATGAAGACAGTGCATTCCAACTCCACCCCCCCCCCACACACACCCCATCAATACAAATACACTTCCTTTAAACCAGAAGTCACCAACTACATTGGTCTGAGGGCTCAGATTTTTCTCAACGGGGCAGGGGCGGCCAGTTGATGGTCAGTGATTTAAAGTGAAATCTCAAACGACCCACTGCTGTGAGGAGTGGGGTTCACAGGGCACAGACCACATGAGGCACGTTCCTCTCATAAAGGCCACAGAGCAGCAACACAAATGTTCCAAACACTTTTAAAGGCAAACGTAAAGGTGGCCATAAAACCTGGAAGGCAGCGGCGGCGACAGTTGTTTGTTCCTGTGGGTGTGTATCCCTCCCCTCCCTCCCCCCTCAACATCAACAGTGCCTGGAGGTGCAAATGTCCTGAAGCGATAGGACGGGGGGTGGGTGGGGTTGTTCCACAGTAGTTGTAATTACCCCTGTGAGAGCCCATGGCTGGACAGTCACCTTCGGGGCGGTGTACTTTATGAAGTGCCTCCACATGAAATACTCCTTTAAATCAAGTACCATTAGTGGAGGTGACAGGTGTTTACACTGACTAACTTTCGGAATTTTTTTAATCACTGGTCACATGCGTGTGTGCAATCTGATTAAAAAAAAATACATATGCACATATATAAATATGGGCAGCAATGACAAAATATTCTTTTCTTTATACCCTGGTGGACAAAAGTTTACCATTCACTCTTGGCAGCTTCTGAAGCCAACATGCCGATTACTACCACGCGACACACGACCATAGGAAATCCAATAACGCGGACACAAGCCCGTCCAGGAAGAGGCATCCACTCGTTAGGAGACCTCAGGTCCCAAAAAAAACGTGGGCCCCTAACTCAGTTTTCAGAGATGCGGGTTAAATGAATAAATAAAATCCACTCATCACATTTCCGTGAACAGGAACTTTTTACGAGGCCACCGTCAACTGGTATGCGGGTGTACTATTTTTAAAACGTGAAATAAAAAAAAACAACACAAAAACATACGTCTTGTTGGTGATTGATTTGTTTTCATGGCACGGGGGCAGCGGAGACAATTGACGATGTTTTTCTACCCGAGGTTTGTGTTTGTTTGTTTGTGTTCTAACACTTTGGCTCGTTAGCCTTTATGTGGTTGCTACGGAGTCACATGACATCTGGCAAATGGTGGGGTCAAAGGGAAGAAGCCTCTCGGATGTGAGGTGAAACGTCAACTTACTTGAGGTGAGGCCTCTTGTCTACTTTAAATTGCTTTTGAGACTATGATGATGACTCTCTGCTGTTAATGACTGAGAACTGCCACAAATATTCAGGGTTGAACCCAAAACGATCAATGGTTCTAACGCCAGTTTCAGTCCTGTTCTCACCTCAGGTCAATAATGGCCTCTAATTTAACCTAATTATCACCAACCTATTGTAATAAAACAGGTACACACACACAGACTATGTGGGACTTTATCAGCAACTACTGTATATTGGTCTGAGGGCTCGAATTTGTCCGATTTTTAAAGAAATTCCAACTGACCCACTGCTGTGAGGAGTGGGGTTCACAGGGCACTGACCACATGAGGCACGTTCCTCTCATAAAGGCCACAGAGCAGCAACACAAATGTTCCAACCACTTTTAAAGGCAAACGTAAAGGTGGCCATAAAACCTGGAATGCAGCGTGAAATTAGTTGCTATCATGCCTGGATCGTGTCCCCAGGTCGTCACAGGGACACAGCGCAAATGCGCACAAGTGTGTGTGTTTGAATACTTACACAATCAACAAGTGCTACTGTTATTCAGCCAGTAATTTGATGTCAAACACATGACAGGGTAAGTGGAGGCAACTTGAACTTAAAGGACGCTGTAAAACGGTTAGACCACGAGTGTAACATTCCCATCTACGGCGTCACTGCACGGTCAGGTCTGCCCTGTGATGCATCTTCGTATCAGTGGGTTTCATAGTTTAGTC